GGGGGGGGGGGGGGCAGAGGCCATCTGGTTTCACCGCTGCCGGCTGCGGTTCTGCTATGGCAGCGTAGAGGCGTGGTGTTGGAGGTGGCAGGCCGGGGCAGGGTGAGGGTGATATGTCCTGGCGGGTTGCCCTTCTGGGCAGCTGGGGCGCCTGCATGATGTGACCCACACATTGCTGCCCTTTATTGCAGGGCAATACAGGTGGGTGGAGGGCGTTGGTGCTAGCAGCAGCTCAGCAACCCGGCACTTTGGCCAGCGGTACCGTCAGCTGTGCGCGCAACGTGACCGCAGCGCCGAGGAAGTCGGCATTCTACACTGTGAGGTCCTGCGCCTATGCAATGGACCCCGTGCTCCTTGTCCTTGGCGCTGAGCAGCAGGCGCGGCAGGCCGCTGGACCAGCGCACGGGGTCGAGGCGCGGCGGGAACTGCACAGGATGCAGATGGGAGGGGAAACGTGAAGCAATTTTTGGTGGTGTGTGATGGGAAACTCCAGTGCATGCATGCATAGCTCATTGTGTTGCTTTCTGGACAGATGAGCTGCCAAGTCTGCGTCTACACGCGCCACTCACGGGCGCACCTTGGCGAGGGGGTCGTCTGGCGACAGCGGCGCCGCTTGGCTCAGCGACTGTACCACGGGTGGCTCACCCGCCGCCAGAGACGAGGGTGACAAAAGAAAAACGAGCGCAGCAAGCACCAGCATTAGGAGCAACTGACATGCAACATATGCTTTGCGGCTATTGGCAGACGGCGGTGGCGGCGGTGGCGGGGTTGCGGCGGGTCTTCTGCGCCGCTCTGCTGATGTTGGCCGATAACCACAACGTCAACGGCCACGGGCGAGGTGTTGCTGTGTCCTGCAAGCGAGCGCAATGTGCAGGGGAAACCCTGCGCATGTCAAATCCTGTGCTCGGCACCCGTTTTGGCTATTCGGCACGTGTTTTAGCAATTATGGAGACTTATCAAGAGAGAGACACAACAGGATGCAACAGGGTTGAGAGCGCTGCACGATGGCACTGCCATCAGCAGACGAATCCTCACCAGTTGAACGGAAACCAGGAGACGAAGTGCGGGAGTAAAGGAGGAGGATTTAGTGAGGAATGAAAGTTGAGGGGACATCACCGCAGCCACCTCAGCCTCCCGCCGCCGCCTGCAGCTCGTAATGCGCTACGGCGAGAGCCGCCACAGGTAGGCCTCCCGATCACCGGTCCCCTCCTGGCGGGGGTCATGCATCCCCCACCCATCATGCATTTCAGGCTTCATCTCCCTCAAACCTCCACCATTTTCCCTCTCGTTTGTCGTGATCGACTCCGGGTAGCCCAAATGCCATTCTAGCGGGGCCTATGGGCCGCGACGAAGCGACCAACTCTGGTGGCAAAGGCAGCAGTCTCGGCGTGTCTGCCAAACGCCTGAAAGGCGGCACCAGCAAGTCCCAACACAAGCATGTTACAGCTCTACTGCAAAACTGGGACAGAGTCACCAAGGCGCATCCTGACCTGCGGGGCGTTCTGCTGTTACAGTCTGCATACTCCAACAGCAATGGATGGGCTAGAACGCACAATCTTGCCGGCATGGGCCCACTGCTGAAGGCTCTCTTGGTGGAGATAGTGGC